CTTATGGTTTCTGTTTGACAAATACTATATTCTGTTGATTGAAATGCATAGTTCTTCTGCTGTTTCAATTTTAATTAAACTTTATGTTTGTGTTTTCTAGGGAACTAGTTTAAGAAGGCAAAAAGCTAAAAGAAGACACGTAAACGTTCTGCATGTCTGGAGGTTATATCTTCAGATATTATTCAAAGTCACCATCTACAGGTAGTGGAGGTGTTAGTCATGTATTCAGTTCTGATTTTGATGTTTCTATCATTATCAATTCATTTAAATTAGTTAATTTACTTAACATTATTAAATACTATTTTATGCTGTCTGCTGGAACTACTAAAATGAAAGTAGTTTGTATAAAGGCTATGGAAAATGGCAGTGTTTTGTGATAAGTCTCTGGTTGAAGTTTTCTCTGGCAGACAAAAGAGGTCCCTCAACTAGTCTGAGATCAAAGATCTCTTCATGAGGAAAGTGAAACTCAGACTGGATCTTGAACAATAAAAAAGTAGCCAAGAAAGGAAGGCAGTAGACATTACTAAAGCAAAGGGGTGGCTGTTCTCAAGCCAAGGCAGTAGAATACACTGAACATCCCTGATGCACATAGTATAGCACGGCTCACTGCAGAGGATGTGCACAGGTGAAGATAGGCTGAGTATAGTCAAGTTACAGGAAGATCTAAGGAATTTGGATCGATTCTGAAGTATGGATGACTGTTGATAGTTTTTAAAACAGGTTATAACTGGATAAAATTTACGTTTTAGAAAGACTACTCTGTCCATTGGTATAAAGGGTTAGAAGTGGGCAAAATATGACAAAGATAGTGTGATTATGTTGATTGAATTCAAGTATGTCAGTGCTCCAATCAAAAAATGTCATTTATTGGGTAAAGAGAAGAATCTTGTAGTAGCATATGCCATATTTTACATATAGGCATTATATGAGCCTGTTTGAATATAAAGCTCATATAGTTTTTTCTCAAATTCTTTACTTACTAAAAGACGAAAAAAATACCATTGAGCACCTACATGACACGATCTGTCAGAATAAATTGCAGACATGATTTTTGCCCTCAACGCTTCAATACAAATCTCCCAGAATAGGAATATTCTTCTGTACAACCACATGCTGTTGTCATATTTAAGCAAAATTAACATAATTCATTAATATTACCTAGTATTCTGTATCCAGATTTCCCTAATTATTCAAAATTTTTATAGCCTTTTTTGTTTTACTCTTTAAAAATCTAATATTCTGTCAAGGTTAGCATGCCTTTGCCTTTTGTTTCTTAGCTAGAACAATCTCCTCACACCTTTTTGTTTTGTATTGTAGTTTTCAAAAATTTAGACTGGTTGTATTATAGATTATCCCAAATTCTGCATTTGTCTGGTCTATGTTAAACTATCTAAAGTCTTCATAGTTTTTTTTTTAGGTAAAACATAATGTATGATAATAAATAGTCAGAGTACAGTATGGTTTTGCAAATGTAGGTGCATCTGTCCAGAGCAGTAAGAACATAGCCTGGAACAATTTCTATCAGAAATACTTTCGTAGTCAGTCAGTTTATACAGTTCTACATTGTTTTGTGTCCATGGGAAAAAATAGTTTATACAGGTAGAGAACGAATTTATTCTGTCTCTTTAATTAGCTATTACAAATCAGATATTTAACATGTCTTATAAAGTTCAAGGGATAATGTAAAGAAACAACTGTTTTAAATAACATAAAAGATACAAGAATAGATAATACACCTAAATTGATATATGAAGTACTGAAGAAAGAAGTCAGGAGAGCCAGTAAATTTGAAGGACGTGTCTTAGGACATTTCCAAATATAAAATTCTGTGATCTCATATTCCCCGTACTGAAAGAGTTCCTTCTAGCCTTAAGAGAAGATTAATGGACGAAGCAAAATGGATAGATGGTGATGAAACTAGTGATTTTCTAGTTATTTAAATCATTTATGGAAAAAGCAGGTATTTGATTTGTTTTAGATAAGTTATTATTACTAAATGTGGTAGAATTTCAGAGCAGGATGCAATAGTAAAGAAATAATTTATGTCTTTAGATACAAAGAAACAATACCAGAAAACTTAAGTGATTTAAGGTAGTGACGAAAAAGAAATTGAATTTACTCTTGATTCGAGTTCCATATTCTTCCTGGTATATCATTCATTCTGTGGTCAAAGCAGACCTAGTTTTGGAAATAAAAAAGAAACTGAGTATGAGGCAAATTTCACTGAAGTCAGTGTGTGAAGGCTTATACTTAACATATTGTTGATCCTTAAAATTACACAGATGATTCTATGAAAGTGTTTTTGACCAAAAATAATTGTTGGCTCTGATAATTATCCATGTGATTCTCTAAATTTACTCTAATTGGCTTTTGAAAGCATTTCACTTATTAAATGTAATCTCTTAGATGAAAATTTGCCAAATTATTGAAATAATAGCTTGTAAAAGGTTGAATGTTATTATCAAACTGTAACTCAGTAATAATAGCAGAAGAATCATATAGCATGTCATAGTGGTTTACTTAAAGGGAATAACACTTGTTTGAAGGTACAAGAGATGTTTTATTTATTTTTAAATCAATTGTACAACTTTTACAACTCAAATATAAAGTTTGACGCTTCATCTACATTGTAAGAAATTTGAAATGAATGAAAATGACCATCTGAAATTAAGCAAATGTTACTTTATGGTCTATATGTAAAACGACTACTGTGCTAATGACCTTGGAACCAGATGTGACCTAGGCAGGCATTTAGGCTGCCTAAGTAACAAAGAAAATGATATACACATATAACAACTCTTTTACTTCACATGGCAAGCTAATTAAAAATAACTTACTTGGCAGAGTTTTACAGAACGAAAAAAAACAAACCATCAACTCTCAAACAGGCTACCATTGGCTTCTGTAGGACTCTATCTAGGCCAACGTGCTGGCTAAATAAGAGGCACTAAGGACACACATTGTTTCCTGTAACACAAAATGGAGCCAGTGCCCTTCTGTATGAGGTCATAGATTTCTACAGAGGGAGACAAATGAGAAAAGGAAAGCAAAAGAACAGAATTTATTATTTTTTCTTCTTCTTTTTCTTTTATGGGGGAAAAATATAATCATTTACAAAGGAAATCCCCAAAAAACTGTTCCTTAGGTTCAATGAATAATTGCTTTATACTCTCAGTTTTTCGCTTAAACTACTATCTCTTCACTTAGCTTGATTGTAAGATTTTGGTATAGTGGATATACTTTAAGTATTATTAAATCTGGATAAATGGAAGTTGCTTTTTGCTTTCTATTTGGCTTCACTGACTGTAATGCATGTATGTTTAATGCTTACATGTTTAAAGTTTCCTTTTTTAAATTTCACTTTTTAGATTTGTTTAAGTCTGGTAAGGCCAATTCTGTGGAATCTCTTCCAGAATTATTGACATCAGACTCTGAAGGAAGCTATGCAGGAGTGGGTAGTCCTAGAGAGTTACAGTCCCCTGACTTCACAACAGGATTTCTTCAGATAAGATTGAGGTTTGTTTTAAAAAGCACTGTTTCCTTACCTTTAGTTTTCAGATTAGTAGGCAGTTTACCCTTAGTTTACCCTTTACATTATATTTTGAAACACTCTCCTATTGGTTTATGAGGACATAAACTAATATATACAGTGTTACTTTTTTCAAATTTGTATAGTTTTTCTAGTTTTGGATCTTTTAATGGCAGTTTTGAACCCTTTATAAATATTACTTCTAACCTTTCTAATCTTTACAACTATGAAGACATATTGAGAAAAACATTTGTAGTTAAATTACTGAAATATATTTTGGGAAATTCAGTTAACACCAGATAACATTTGTCCAACTAAAATGATTTTGAAAGTAAGCCAGATTTCAAAATCTGCGAAGGGTCTTTCTTTCATGATGTTAACTGGAGCAGAATGAGGTAGAACGATTGAGTTCTTCTCGGCTAGCACTATTAACTTTAAGCTGTACGATTACTAATGTCGTTAACTCTGAGAGGGGCATCCTTAACATCTCATTCCACAGTTGTTAATCTAAAAGATAGGAGACTCTACAGTGTTCTAGGCTCCATGGTGTTTTTACTGTAAAGAAGTTTGGGGGCAATTGTTAATTCTCATAAGTTTGGTCTGGAAGACAATTGAGGCTTAAAGGAAGGTCGGGGGCATATTGTGAATGTTTTGCAATAATAGAATACGATCCTGACAGTGGAAATGCCATTTTAATAACGTTTTTGACCCATTATAACAGAAATAGTTTTAGGGTCCCCTTTGAATTGTCAGTATTATTTGACTTTAATTTTATTCAGAATACTTTAATTATATTCAGTGAATTATAGGACATTTATACCAAACTTCCATTTTGTGGTCTATCTGAAGTCATGAACATTAATTTAAAAATAACTGCATCATATCTTACATGTACAACTTTCATTTAAAACATTTTATTTAATATTTGTGTAAATATAAATTTAATTTGCAAACCCATTTCCCATAATAATCCCTTTCCCTCATTCTCTGTACTTAAAGCAATAAACTATAGAAGAGCATGTATTGAAAATGCTAGGTGATTTTATCATCATAGGATTTTTAATATTTATTAAGTATCTACTGTATATTAGTTACTAAAGTATGCACCTACTGTTACTGACTTTTTAAATATGTTTTTCCTTCCCACAGGGGAGAATTAAATCGTATATTAATGGTACACCTCCTACGAATTCTAGGGAAGATTTTAAACCATGGGAAAAATCACCAACACATAAAATATCTGCTCCACAGCCCATTCCCAGCAACAGAATTGATAATACAAGCTCTTCCAGTTGGGTTGCTGGCTCTTTAAGGTAGGATTTGCATTTTGTTTTGTATGTCTCTTTCTAAGAAATTGCCATCTACTTTTAGTCAAATGAAAAATTTTAGTGAAGCACATTAAATATTAGTCTGATACATGGAAAATTATCTATACATATAAAAATTGCTGATCAATTATGATAGGCATATTTCCCCCTGGGGCAAAATTAATGTTTGTATTAACACCAGTAAATAGTAGCAAATATTTTATTTTTACTTATATGTAAGTATATATTTAAGTCTATATATATGTGACTTACAGCAGCAATTTTTTTTGTAGTTGATAACATTAGTTAAAACTCCCCCCTTGGTACAGGTGAGGATGGGGAAAGGTAGATTAATGTTAGGTACTAGGCTATAGTTAGTTTGAAGAAAGACGTTCTCGTGTTCTTAATGTGCTGTTTATTTAAAAAATAAAAAGCTAGAAATAAAGGTTTTTAGTGTTTTCACTATAAAGAAGTGGTACAAGCCAGGTGCCTGTGGCTCACCCTTGTAATATTACCTACTTGGAAGGCTGAGATGCGGAGGATTGCAGTTCAAGGTTAGTCCAGGCAGATAGTTTGTGAGACCCTGAAATAACCAGAAGAGAATGGCTAGACATGTGGCTCAAGCTGTAGAGTGCCAGCTTTGCAAGCGTGAAGCCCTGAGTTCAAACCCCAGTCCCACCAAAATAAAGTGATACATATTTGAGGTTACAGGCTTGCTGCTAATTGACTTGTTAACTGACTTATTATTGTCATTTGGACTGTTTATGTAATTCATTTGAAAAATGCTGTCTTTTGCAGTTGGAACAAAGATTATGTTTCATATTCTAAAGGCTGTTCATAAGTTAGTCTCACTTTTGCTGTTCTAAGTAAACAAATTGGAACATACAAAATTTGTGGGAACACTTAGAAACTGTCTTTTAATTGCTAATGTTAGAATAGTTTATTAAACATGTTTAAAGAATACCTTGGTATATAGCCAACCAATATAGTTTGGCTATCAATTTCAGTACAGTGTCTACTAACAGTGTTTAGCAATATGATCAGTGTTTTCAGTATATACACAAACATTTCTACATTCACTCTGAAGTATTACCTAGCAGGAGTAGTGATTAGAAGTTCTTATTGAAAGAAAGTGAAGTAAACAGGTTGCCTTTTCATATGCAATAATATGATTTATTTTTAGCTATATCATAAATTTCATTTAGATAAACTGTATCTAAAGATTGTAGGATTCTTTTCTTATGATGCAACTCCCTCTGGTGGGTATCCAATATTGTTCAGCACTCCTCAAATTTTCTGATAAATCTCTGGTTTTTGTTACTACTAGATAGTAGTAAGTTTTAAAAAAAAAATAGAAAGGAAAGAATTCAATTTTCAACTTTTATTCATTCCAAAGAATAAGAATTTAATTAGAACTTTAGTGAGTTCTTTTGCCTAATTTAGGCAACCTAAGAATCTACTATTGTTTGACATTTTATTTATGTTTTAGAATTCCAGATTTATACTTTATGAATTTAGATGCACTTAAGTTGTAATTATGTATGCATATATAATAGCAGCTTTCACTTAAAATATCCTTTTTGATTGCTTTTTGTCCTTTAGGCTAAGATGAAGTGTGAACTTGAAATTTTCCAATTCTAGAACATTTAAGATTTTGGATTTTCAAATTAGGAATGCTTGGTCTAGACATAGAGTGTAAGTGGGTACTATTGTGAACTATTTCTGGTCAGTGAATTATTGTAAAAATTCATAGGTATACCAAATAGATTCTGTGCACATAAGAAAAAAAAGATGACATGCAAAATACCCTTTTTGAGGTTGGCTGCAGCTGACAAATCTAAATTATACTTTTATCATAAATCTTACATATCATTTACAGTTTCAGTTAAGTTTGAGGTTGGGCTTGATAGATAAACTGAATGCTTGGTAAAATTTTTTTTTTATGTCTTTTAGTCCTGTTAGTCCTCCTGTTGTGGATCTCAGAACCATCATGGAAACAGAAGAAAGTAGACAAAAATGTGGAGCTACACCAAAGTCAAATTTAGGGTTGGTTAAAAAAAATCGGAAAAGAAAAGGTCATATGGTATTATATTTCTGCCATGAAGAATTGGAAAGATCTGTTGTATCTTTGCTGTCATTTTTCTGCATTTTAATGTAATAGCTGTAAACCTTTTTATAGGATACTTAATCTTTATAATATTTTTAAATATGTGCTAAAGATTGAGTTGAGTTGGTAGATCAGTTCTTATTGAACACAGTATTACATGTTAGAAACTTACCTCTAAAATGATCATTGCTGTCTATTTCTAAAAAAAACCCTCAAGATTTAAGCCTTGTGGTGCAAATTCCCCTGGAAAAGTATGATATGTAGGAGGGTTCATGTATAGCAATTACTTGTTCACTTATAGTATAAACTGATAATTATCATTATTGAAACTTAACATTTTAATCCAAAAATAGTAAAATCACAATAAATAGAATATATCATCTGTAACCTTCATTAAGCACAAAATGATGTTAATTGGTTTAATTTTATTTATAGTAAAATGATTTTTCATAAAATAAACTTTCTCAGAATCAGTGAAACCAGTGAACTAATTGGTTTAATCTAATATAATTTTTAGAAAAATGATTTCCCATGGAGTTAAACTTTCTCAGAAGCAACGAAAAATGATTGCATTGACTATCAAAGAAAGCAATTCAGGAATGAGTAGCATGGAAACAGTTTTAACTACTCCTTCAAAGTCACCCAAACCAGCGAATGCATGGTATGCTCTTATTTTTATTAAATCATTATAGGTCTTGATGTTAGCTTTTAAGGTTGTTTTTGGCTCCCGAGTTTCTCCCCTACCTAAAATATTTTCAAATATTTCTTTCCTCCCTTTTCTTTTAAGTTAAACATTGAATTTGAGGACCAAGAACTTTTTTTTCTTAATTTTAGATGTATTAACATTATAAACCATTGATTCCAAACGTGGAGTTTTCATATGTGGGTATAGTATCTTCTTCATATTCTGCAACTTCCCTTGCCAAAGTAGTTTAAAATAATTTTACCTTTTCACTTCTTAATAAGAAATAAAATGTGTTACAGTAAATTTCATAAAAGAACACTTTACTTTTAGTACATTAATCTCTTTATTTTTCTGCATGTACCATAAGTATCTTCACATGGTTAAAATCAAACCTTTTTGTACTTTTTGAAGAGGTGTTACTTAACATTGTATCACATAAGTTTTCTCCATCATAATTCACCCCACAGTGGCAGGATTAATAGGAGTAACCTCCAGAGGGTAAGAAAACAGTTCCATTTTGTTTGCAACTCATAATATCTGGAAACTGAGTCTAGAAGAGCAGTTGATGGATAGACCAAAGGGTAAGGAAGAAATAAGAAGAACCCTCTTTCTCTCACAAGGACTGAGGAGGGTATTTGTAGCTGTCCTAAGTTTGGTGAATTCCTTTGGTGTTTCTATGTCACAATCTATTTGTAAGAAGGAATATTCTTCCCACTGAAACTGTAAATTATTTTGAAGAGAACAGCAACTCATTTTATTGTGAGTGTTACCAGTGGAACTGAATCAGTACCTTTCAGAACCTCTAGTAAATTCGAAGCATGATCACTGAAAAAGAAAATGAAACAAGGAATGGGAAAACCCAATTAGAGGATAAAGAGTGTGCAACTTGAGAGAATGGGCTTAGTGGAAATTTTTAATTCATCAGTATTTGTTAAATGCCTTCTACATGCAAGGTTCTCTGCTAATTTCTGGTGACAACCCATAAATCTTTGTAAGATTTATGGTGCATTGGTTGCAACACTGAGTTACTTTCTCTAAACACTGGACAAGATCAAGAAGAAAAAATTTTTTGAGACAGCTGTCTAGATACTAAATATTACTGTAATTTGAGAAAATTAACAGAACATGAGGATGCTTTGGGCTTAGTAATCAAATTTAGCTGTGCATTTTCCTTATTTAAAAGCAAAAAGGTAAATGAGGAAGTTTCAGTTCTCCTGGAAGCCTCTTTCTTAGAGCTCTGTGTTCTTTGGTCTCTTGTCAGTCTTTTCTAGGCCTTCTTGAGTATATGTCATCTTGAGGCTTTCCTTAATTATCACGTAGGAAATTTCTTTTGCTTTCCTCTGTCGCCAGGTCTTGTTTCCATGTCCTGTGTTTTTCTATTTAGTTTGCTCTTTGTTTTGATGTAGTATAACTTGAGTAGTTTTCTGGGAAAGAATGTGCAGCACATACATTTTTGGAGTTCTTGAATCCATGCAAATGTTTTTATTCTTTCTTGTCTTTATTCTTGACTAATAGTTACATTGAAACAGCATTCTAGATTCGAAACTATTTGGAGAATTTGTTCCATTTTCTTTCTGCTGGTGTGTTTGGGAATTCAAATACTGTTTGATTCCAAATTCTTTTTACATTACTCCCTATTTTCCTTTTTCTAACTTTGTTTTTTTCCCCTGGAAGCTTATACGGCCTTTTCTTTACCCCTAATGTTCAGAAATTTCACAGTTTGATGTGGCTCTATTTTCATCATTACTCTGAGTACTTGGACTCTTCTAATTGGCAACAACATGTCCTTACATTCTAGGAAAATTTTATGTACTATTCCTTTGATACTTTTCCTTCTCAACATTTCCTCTAAAGTCCACATTAATCAAGTATTGGTCCTCCTGGATTTCCCTAATTTTCCTTTTCTGTCCTATTGTCCACTTGCATGTCTTTTTATTTTCTTTATCACTGAACATTTCCTTGACTTTTTAACTATTAAAATCTTTAATTTTCATGAACTTTCTAATTTGCTACTGGTGGATTTTTACAGTATTGTCACCATTCTAATACCATAGATCCCTTTATGTATCTGTCAGCAGTACATATACCAGGCAACTTGTGTAAGAATGTTCATATCATAATTGTTTGTAATAGCTAAAAACTAGAAACAACCTAGTTGTCTAACAGCAGTAAATGAGTAAGTGTGGTTTTTAAAGTAGTAGAACACTACACAGTGAAAAAGACTTAGTTCTGACTAAGGCCAAAAAGTGGATGAATCTTAGCAATATAACATTGAGAAAAGAAGTCAACCAGAAAAATACTATATGAGTTCATTAATAAAAAGTTTAAAATAGCTACTGATTTACACTAATGTTTTATTTATTGTTCTCTGTTTTGACCAGTTTTTGTGTTACATTTTATTGATTTATTGACTTAAGTGTTTTGTTTACAGTTCTGATTGGAAGTACTGTCTGCCTGTGTGGAACAAATGTGGCACTAGGGTATCTTGCAGTATCCTTTGGGGACCACAAAAGTGTCAGTTATTTCCTTGGTATCTTTTTTCCTTGGTCTCCAAAGGATGCCAGGGTTTTGAGAGAGCGACTTTTAATTTTTTTTTCTGATGAAATATATATATTAAGTTGCCAGCATTTTGGAAGCTGATCCAGGGTAAGGAGGTAAGGAGTGGTACTGATGTTCTCACTATTTGGTATACATTTTCATATACTTTATCATTTAGTATATACATTTTGTGCACAATAAGTGGTATCCCCTATCTTCCCCTTTTTTTTCCATTAGTAACTTTGAATCAAATTATCCTTCTGCCCAGGTAAAAAAGATGTCACGTGGCTACATTAAAATAGAAAGTATATGTGGCATTCCCATCCATGCTACAAATAAACTTTGAAACCAGTTTTCACATTTTCAACCTTATGCCTACTTAGGGATTTTCTGTGTAGGACATCTCCAACTTATGAGCCTTTCTAGGGTTCTGAGCTTTCCATCCTATCATCACCCACCTGATGGCAATTAGTTTTATTTTCTTCCCTGCTGTATTATACCAGTTATCACTCTGCCTTTTGGGCATACTCCAAAAATGTGCTGCTTTATTTAGACTGCTATATCTTAATATCTTAACTCTTTTTGCTCACTTTATGTGGGATTTCAGGAGAAAGTATTTCAGGGAAAAGTAGTCATTTATCTAAGACCTCAGACTTTGATGTTCAAGTTTAGGAAAAGCTTTTCCCTTTGAGCACCATAAGCTCAGAGTCCCATGTTGAAGTCACTGTCTTACTGAAATTTTAAAAGGCATTATTTTCATATCAAGAAGAACGCTAGGAATAGAGGAAGAAAAATGCCATAAAACTTGTCCAGAAACATAATGAAGGTATTTTTCTTTGCCAGATAGCTTGACAACTACAAAAGTGATGTTTGTTATAAATTTTTTTAGAATGCATAATTGGAAAAATTAAGTATGAATAAATGATCTTTTCTTCTTCCTTTTTTTGGGGGAGGCTGTGTGTGTGTATTGGTGATTGAACTGATGGACTCAAATGTGGTAGACAGGTGGTTTATTATTGAGCTGTATCCCAGCTCTATCATAAAGATCTTTAAAAGATGATTTCTGTAAAATTCTTTTGAATATGTGCCTTGCTTTTATTTTATTCATTAAATGGTGAGCTGAGACAACTTTAAAAATATACATGTAGATGTATATGTAAATATATATTTAGAGTAAAATAAATAATATATTATGAAATTATTAATGTTTGATATCTAGGTACTTTGAGGCATCTTTAGTGTTAAGTTGAAATAACTATTAGGTTATTGAATAATTTTCTTTTAAAAGTTACAAAGTTATAAATTGAGCTCTAGACGTAAAATTAATTATTGAGTGAATATAATATCTGTTGCTTTGTGTGATGTTAATTATATATAAGATTACATATTTAAGTTATAAAATAACCACATTCAGAATATTGCTTCATTTAAATCAGATACATATAGAGTACAAATGCATATAATTTATGGTAGATATTCCTCGAATATCCTTTGTGTACTTTGATTTAAAATAATTGGAAGATCATTCTTTATATTTCCATGACAAGTAAAGGTATATAGGTGTCTCTACAATAAGCTGATTTTGATACTTTTGAGTATATACACAGAAGTGATATGGCTAGACAATATAGTAGTTCTATTTTTAATGTTTTGAGGAACTTCCGTAGTAGTTGGACTAATTTATATTCCTACCAGCAGTGAATAAGAGTTATCCTGGGCAAATTATTAATCAGCCTAGGTGCCCATCAGAGGAGGAATGGATAAAGAAAATATACTATATAAACACAATGGAGTTTTACTCAGCCATTAAGAAGAATAAAATTATGTTATTTTTTGGAAATCATCATGTTAAGTGAAAAAAACAGTACCATAAAGACTAGTACTGCGTGTTTTCTCTGGTTTGTGTAAACAAAAACAAGTTCAGGAAAATGGAAGGGAACAGGGAGATAGGAAGGGTAAAAGAATAAGAGAGAGCGAGGTTGGGGATAAGTATCATCAAAGTACGTTGTAGGTGTGTGGATGTCATAATGAGACCCATTACTACGTATAACTAACATGCCAACAAAAAGTAAAATGGGAGAATTTAAGCTTTGCTGTACCTTGAAAAAGTAGAAAATCTGAAATTAGCACTTTAATCTGATTTATAGGTTGTCTTTTCAGACCACTTGTGATTATATTATTTTTTTAAAATATTTCTCAAAGGTGTATCATCTAAAGAAATATCTAATGAGATTTTATTTCTACAAATGTATTTAAACTGCATTTATCTTGTTTTTGCATTTATCTTAATATTAAGGCTAACGTACACTTCTTTAACAAATCACAAATTAACTCTCTAAATCTGCTCATGGTTGTGGTAGAGTTTTCACTTGTGTGTTCACATGCTCATTCACCTAGTCTATAAATTACTAGTATATTCTTGGACTCCTGCTGCCTGCAGTTAGCTGTGGCAGTGGAAACTATTAAAGATAACTGGGTTTTGCCTTAGAATGAAGTTCATAACCAGCTGAATTTTGAATCTAATGTGAAAATATCAAGTGTATATGAGTTGGTCGGTTTTCATTATCAGATGTTTAGCTTGGAGAAATAATGTATTTCTCACCAGTCATTCTGAGTGGAAAATGCAGACTCTTTGTGGCCTGGCTTGATGTATGAATGTAAATCCTTTCAAATCCAGTTAGAGCTGGCTTACATAAGGTAATTTTAGTTATTTAACTTTTTGAGCTAGAAATTTTATTCATTAAAGCAAAAATTTTGTGGCTGGTTTAGCTAAGGAACAAAATCCTATTAATTTTTGTGTGAAATTCTACAAATGTTTCTCCATAAAGTTTCTATGACTTAAGATGAAAAAATAGCCAAGGCCTATCAGTTAGGAAAGTAACATTGTGGGAAATCAGACACTGTTTCAAACTATGGCATAATTGGTAGATAGGACAACAGAACTTACTTAAAGACTTGGTAAAATAGCTAATAGGTTTTAATTGTGCATAATTAATTAATGAGTTGAGTTTAAGATATTTTATAAGCATTCTTACCTACAGTCAAGTTTTATTCCAAGTAACTTCTTAAGAAGGAACTTTGTAGAATAGAAACCATTTACTACATGTGGATGCCCCCAGATTAACCATTAGAACGAATCTGACAGCTTCTGTTTTTCCTAGTTAGAGTTACGAAGTTTCTATGTTTAGAGAAATGAGTTATTTAGAAGGGAACATTCAAGAAATTATCTGGTAAGATAATTCGCATCATTCTCAGTCATTAATGATAGACTGTACTTTATATCATAGTTACCTTCAAATATGTGTACTTTTGAGGGTGGTAAGAAGTTGGAAAGGAAATGGAAAGTGGTTCTTTTGTAAGTGCATTTGATTTTTATATCCTGTATGTGTAAGTGTTTGGGTAATATTTGGATCAGATTTTTGTCATAAAACCAAATCAGATTAGTTCTTCTTGGAGAAATATTTTTTTAAAGGAGTACATGAGTAGGTCATGATTCTAATACTAATCTATAAGGAAATTTTCTTTCATATTGTATAAGATTTCATGGGTAAATGACTTAAATGTGAATACAACAGTGTACTGATTAAGCAGCATCTGATTATATGGTGATGATGATACTCCATAATTTGCTGCAAATCAGCTCACTTTATTTAGCGGACTCCATATTTAGTTCCATTAGACCTATGTTTAGGTTCCATGCTACAGTGACATGAAGATGATAGCTTTTATCAGTGTTAAAGTCAGTTTGCAGAGGGTGGATATTTACATTTTTATGAAATTATCAGCAGCTTTCTTAAAGCACTTGAACCATTGTATCCTCTTTGCCAGCAATCTCTGAGAGCATTGGTTGTTTCGGGTGCTTGCCAACATTTGTTCTTGTCAGTTTTCCCCACTCTGGTACATTTAGGATTTTAAGTTGTGCTTTCCTTATGAGTTCTGAGCACTTTCATGAACTTACTGGACATTAGCGCATCTTCCTTTGTGACATGTCTGTTTAAATATTTTCTACTTTCCATTTAAATTTTAGTTGCCTTTTTATTATTTGTGTTTTGTATTATTTAGTTGTAGATGTTATTTTATCACCTGGATACAAGTCTTTGTCAGATGTGTGTTTTGTAAATATTTTCTGAATGATATCTTTTGCTGAGTAGAATTTTAAAATTTCAGTTAAGTCTAACTTATTAGTTCTTTAATGGTTATTATTATTACCTCTGTCTATGTCCTGTCTAAAAACCTTTGCCTACCATAAAGTTGTGATAATAGTAATAGTCTTCTGTTCTCTTCTTGGTTATTTAGCTTTTACATGCATATTTATGATCCACCACAGATAGGGGGTTTAGAGCCAGATAGAGATCAGGGTTCATTTTTCCTAGATGGGTGATAGTTATACCATTTGTTGGAAACACTTTTTGTTTCTTACTGACTTGCTTTGACAACTCAATTATTGAAAAATAAAATGTATATATGAAGTCTGTTTCTAGGCTGTGTTCTGTTTCATTGATCTGTTTGTTAATCTTATGCTTTTATCACACTGATGACTAGTTTGTTGATTTATTGATTTTTTTTCGTGGTGTTGGGTATCGACTCCAGGGCTTTGCACATGCTGGGCAAGTGCTCTACCACTGAGCAACATCTTTACCCTGTTTATCTTCTTCCTTTGTTTTGGCTTTGGCCAATCTAGATTCTATGTATTTTCATATAAATTTTAGAATTAGTTTGTCAGTTGGTACAATTAAAAATCTCTTGACTAATTCAAATTTTTAAGTAGATATAGTCTAGATAAAATCTATTATCTTTGGTAATTTATTTTTAAAATATTTTTCTATCCATGTAAATTATCTAATTTGTTTTCATTGAGTTGTTTCCTTGCTTTTGATTTCTGTGATATCTTGTATTAGTTGGCCATTCCTCCATAACAAATCCTCCCTAACAAACAACTGGAACCAATGTTTATTATCTCACAATTCCTTTGACTCAAGAGTCTTAGCTAGTTGCCTCTGGCTCATGGTCTCCATACTGCTTCAGTCTACGGCTTTATTTGAAGAGCATTATTCTCCAGGCTCACTCATATGGATATAGGCCGGATTGACATTTTCTCCTTCTATCACACTAAAGGTGTCTTTCCATTGTCTTCTTGCCTCTCTTGTTTCTATAACAAGCTAATCATTTTTACATTGTGTTGCATTTCTACAGCGGCTTTCAAGATTTTTTCTTTATTTTTTTCACTGTGCTTTGATGTCTGATGTCTTTTTTGGTGTTTGGTAAAATTCTTAAGTCTTTAAATTTATGTCTCCCACTGAATTTGGGAAAATTTGGGGCATCGTTTCCTTAAGTATTTTCTCTGCCATATCGCTCCTCTTCTTTTGGTTCTCCAATTGCATACCATAACCTTTTAATGTCCCACAAGTCACCAAGGCCATCTTACATTTTTCATTTTTCTCATTCACTTCTCCCAGTTCAAAAAATTCGTATTGATTTATCTTCTTTATTGACTCTTGAATTCGCTTAGTCCATCTAAGTAAATTTGTTTTTTAGACATTAATAATGCAGTTCTTACAATAGCATTTTGTTCTTTTTTTAGCTTTCTTTTTCTTTGCTGAGTTTTTATTGGTTCTGTTTTAGTTTTTGTTTTCTTTGCTGAATTTTAATTGGCTGTCTAATTCACTTTGAGCATTTTGTTGTTGTTATTGGAGGCATAGTTTTAACAGCTTTTTTTTTTTTCTTTTATTATTCATATGTGCATACAAGGCTTGGGTCATTTCTCCCCCCTGCCCCCACCCCCTCCCTTACCACCCACTCCACCCCCTCCCTCTCACCCCCCCAATACCCAGCAGAAACTATTTTGCCCTTATTTCTAATTTTGTTGTAGAGAGAGTATAAGCAATGATAGGAAGGAACAAGGGTTTTTGCTGGTTGAGATAAGGATAGCTATACAGGGCATTGACTCACATTGATTTCCTGTGCGTGGGTGTTACCTTCTAGGTTAATTCTTTTTGATCTAACCTTTTCTCTAGTTCCTGGTCCCCTTCTCCTATTGGCCTCAGTTGCTTTTAAGGTATCTGCTTTTGTTAAGGGCAACAAATGCTAGCTAGTTTTTTAGGTGTCTTACCTATCCTCACCGCTCCCTTGTGTGCTCTGGCTTTTATCATGTGCTCAAAGTCCAATCCCATTGTTGTGTTTGCCCTTGTCCTAATGTCCACATATGAGGGAGAACATAGGATTTTTGGTCTTTTGGGCCAGGCCAACCTCGCTCAGAATGATGTTCTCCAATTCCATCCATTTACCAGTGAATGATAACATTTCGTTCTTCTTCATGGCTGCATAAAATTCCATTGTATGTAGATACCACATTTTCTTAATCCATTCGTCAGTAATGAGGCATCTTGGCTGTTTCCATAACTTGGCTATTGTGAATAGTGCCGCAATAAACATGGGTGTGCAGGTGCCTCTGGAGTAACCTGTGTCACAGTCTTTTGGGTATATCCCCAAGAGTGGTATTGCTGGATCAAATGGTAGATCAATGTCTAGCTTTTTAAGTAGCCTCCAAATTTTTTTCCAGAGTGGTTGTACTAGTTTACATTCCCACCAACAGTGTAAGAGGGTTCCTTTTTCCCTGCATCCTCGCCAACACCTGTTGTTGGTTAACAGCTTTTTTAATACCATTGCTAATTTCATCATCTGGATTTATCTCCATTGTTGGTGTCCATTGTTTCCTTTTTCTTGTAGCAGAATTTTGATTGGTTCACAGTTGACAGCAAGAATCTATTATCACATTGAAAACTGTAATTATATCATTGTAAAATTTTTACGTGTGTGTGTACATTATATATATATAGATATATATATACCTATATATATCTATATATACATAAATAATATATGTAATCTCTCTTGTCTCCTTGTAACTTCCAGCAATACCCTTTCACAAAATGAATGTTATAACATGGTCTGCTTTCTTTTGCAGGGCCTCTTCTGTACATTCAGCTTCATTCAAGTCATTCCGGAGTTTCTTGCAAGAAGAAAAAAAATCTGTTACTGGCCATAGCTCAGGAGACCATGTCAAGAAAGTTTGTTTTAAAGGGATTGAAAATTCTCAGGCTCCCAAAATTGTAAGGTAATAGTTACAGTTTATTCTATGGTGATTTTGTGTTCTGAAATGATCTTTAAAAAATTATGAGGCAGACTTTTATACATTATTATACATTCAAAATTAAAATTAGCACGACTGTTTTCTCCCTCTCTGTTTTTTCTTTTTAATAACAGTTCTCTTAAGTATTTGCTTTATAACAAACTGCATGTATTTGGTGTATACAGTTTGAAGTTTTGGCATGTCTACACCCTTAAAATCCTCATCTCAATCATATTGGGGATCATCATTCTCAGAATTTTCCATGACCCTTCTCTTCAGCTACAAATTTGCTTTTGTAATATATAATGTGTATAAACATGTGTATTTTAGAGTTTTATATCAGTGGAACCATACAGTATGTACCCTTTCATAAAATTAGCATTATTGAGGCTCACTGATCTATATTGTTATGTGTATCCATTGTTGATTCCATTTTATTGCTGATTAGTATTTCTCTGTATGGACTTACTATAATCTCCCTACATCTGTTATTGAAACTCTGTGTGTTTTCTGTTTTTACTGTCACTGTTTTTGATACTTTTTTTTTTCTAAATCCAGTGTATTTTTTAAGAGGTATTTCAGATTTTAAATGCCTACCTGAGCCATGATTAAAACCATAATTAAACCATAATTAAAAGCAGTATTTTAGTAAAAATAGTTTCCCCTAAGTAGTATGTAAATTCTTAAACATAACTCAAAATGAAATATTTTTGATGTATTTGGAGGCCAATATTGGAAGAAAATAATATTTCAAATTAGTTGGTAAGTGAAGATATATTATTAATCTGCTTATGTGACCTCTCCCAAAATATTAATTCCTAGAGTGTTTAAGACAAAACAAAAATGTAATGAATAATGACAGTTGTAGCCAGATTAATGTTTTATTTTATATAATGATAAACCCTTCATTTCACTGGTTGTAAAACTTTTTTTACCCTCCTAAACCCTTTTTCAAAATGAAATCTTATGTTCAATTCCAGTGTATCAAACAGATAATATTAATTTTGCTGACTGAAACAAGGAGTGGGGACTGGGAACCACAGTGATTTAACTTCCCCTTGTCTGCCCTGCACATAGCTCTGCATGAACCATCAAAGTCTTCTAACATTGTTTGGAAACTACTGGTGTAGGCGAAATATTTATACATGCTTTTTATTGTTGGTACTGCTTTCTTATAACAGGTACATTTACAAGCAAAGTTCTTGAACCATTTTCTTATAATACAGAAAATCAGGGATCAGAAAGGAGCTGAAGAAGTCATCTAGTCTATCTCCCTAACTTTTCTAATACTTTTAGCAGTGAACACTTTTAAAATAAAAATCTAAATGGAACTCAAACATATAAAATAGACATAAGCCTTTTTACATACAAATTTGTAAGTTAAAATTTTAATGTTTGTAATTGGCAAAATTGGGTAGTTTTAAATTAGCAAACAAATACTCTCTTCTTTGTGTCAAACATTGTGCTAAATACTAGAGTTACACAGTGGTGGACAAAATTAGCTTAGCCCCTACTCATAGAACTGACAGAACTTAAGCAGGTAATTAAATAAATGCCATATAAAGCATTGGAAAGAAGTATATTAGATTCATCATTCAATTTATTTCTATATTTTCTTTTAATTATCTAATATTAGAAAATCCAGTTTGAAATAGTTAAAAATGATATTTTAAACCCAACTCTTCTTGTTAATTCTTTAAAAGCATTCTTCATTTAGACAGAGATGGTATAAGAAGCTTTTCTTCTTAAATTTATATTAAGATGAATTAACTTGGGAAGAGAGATTACCATGCTGGTGATCTTCAATTTTTTGAAGTATTTGTATATTTTTATTAGCTTAAAAATGTATTTCAAAATAAGAAATGAATAGGCAACAAATACCAATAAATTCTTTGCAATGACTCCAATTCTCATTTTCCATATTTATTGTAATATTTTAAAAACAGCATATTGCAAAGTGCTTTTTTGCTGTAAGAAAAACATAGTACCAATAGTAATATGAGGAATATAGTAAGTGATGTCCTGTAGACCATATTTTTAAATAGAAAAGTATTTAACTTCTTTACTTTCCTTCTGTGAGACACACAAATACGCTTCTGTTTGTATTCTCCCTTTCTTGTTTTGCAATAGAAAATTTACCTTTCCAGTCTAAGGTCAGTATCTATACCTATGCTTTTTTCTTATCCCTTCCTGCTTCAGAAGTCTTAAACTATTAATTATCCCTTCCCATTCTTGAATAGACTCAAATTTTTCTTTTTAACTGGATTCTTCCCATCTGTTTTTTGATATGCTCAGGTGTCTGTCCGTGGTCTGGGTTCCTTACTCAACCTGCCTACTTCATTGTAGCAGTTACTTTGTCATTACCAGTCTTATATACCTTTCAGACCAGAGTTCTCAAGAGTTGTCAGTTCTACTCACTGTCCATTTTATTGGCATATGTATGTTGAGTTATCAGATATATATCGTCCCAGCTTCATACTTAGTTACCCATCTGTCTTCTTAACCTTGCCATCCTATTTGGATATTCCAAAACCCTCAAAACTCATGAAACCAAAATCGAACAAAAATACAGAGAGCATAAAACACCCATTTTTTTCTTTTGCTCTACCTTCAAAGTCTTCTGTTCTTCACTGTTACTCAGTCTATCATCAGGACATGGCAGGTTTAGCTCTTAAATACTTCTTTTTATACATATACTGAACTTTGTCTCCAAAGCTGTCACCCTCTTCATACTGCGATCTTTTACCTGGGCTACCAGACTGTCCATCCTGACTAGTCTTGCCATTGCCTTCCTTTACTTTAGTGTATTGAGCTATTGTGTTCTTTTTGAAATACAGAGCTTACTGCTGTTAGGATAGAAGCTAGAATTTTTTTTTTCTGCTGTACTAGCGATTCAGTGAAGGGCCTTGTGCTTAGTAGGCAGAAGCTCTACCACTAGAGCCAAGCACCAGCCCCTTTTTTCTTTAGTTATTTTTCAGACCATTTGCTGGGTTGCTGGCCTCAGACCATCATCCTCCTACCTATGCCTCCTGCATAGCTGGGATTACAGTTGTGAATCACCATACCCAAGTCGTTTGTTGAGGTGGAGCTTACTTTTTATACAGGCTGACCTCAACCTTGATCTGCCTATCTCTGTCTTCTGAGTAGCTGGGATTTCAGGCATGTACCACTATGTCTGGCCCAAAAGCTAGAATTCTTTTTTGGTTTTGTTTTGTTTCTTGATTTTGCATCTTTTTCTTTTTCTCCTTTTATTAGTGCATTAATTGTACAGGGGGTTATTGTGCTATTTCCATACATGTATATAATGTATTTTGATCAAATTTACACCCTTTGTTAATCTTTTCTTATCTTTTTGAATAGTTTTTAACAGGCTTCATTATTATGTTTTCACACATGAATAAGGAGTACTTATTTCCATCCCTCACTTCATCTTCTCCTTTTACCCTCCCACAATTGGTTCCTTTGGCTCCCACTCCCAGATAGTCCTCCTCCATTTTATACTTGTGCCATTCATTTTGTTTTAAGTCTACATTCTACATTTTCCATATGAGAGGGAACACGTGATATTTATCTTTCTCCATCTGACTTATTTCACTTAACATGATATCCAGTTACACCCATTTTCGGTCAAATGATGTGATTTATGACTGAATAATATTCCATTGTGTATTTATAGATTTTCTTTATCCATTCATTGGTTGATGGACACCTAAATTGATTCCTTGGTTTGGAATAGTGTTGCTGTGTGTGTGCAGGTACCTCTATTATATGCAGACTTACATTCCTTTACACCAGGAGTAGGATAGTGGAGTCATATGGTAGTTCTATTTTTAGTTTTTTGAGGAACCTTCATAGAATTCTTAATCTGGCCTTTAAGAGCTACAGAAGTCCATATCTTACAACGTTATCTCTGTATTCTATCCTTCTTTTGGTTCTTAAATGCACTTTGCTTCCTTCTACTGCCTTACCCTCACTCTTCTTTCAGTCTCCATTCAGTCATATATTTTAGAGAAATCTGACTTTCTTCAGTGGATCGGTAACTCTACATCATACTTTCCACAGTTAGGATTATCACTAATGATTGTCTGCTGCAAATATTTCATGTCTGTACACTTAACTGTGTGTTCTTTGAAAGCTAGCAAGATGTCTGTCTTGGCCAGTCACTGTATCACCAGTGCTTACTTAGAGTGATTCCTAGCATGAAAGTGGGCACTCAGTGAACATTTGGTGAATGGCTAAATGAGTAAAAAAGCTATAGCTATATTTCAAGTAACGTTGTTTCTAATGTAGTAGCTACTTATATTGCATGCTTAGATTATAAATTTGGAAGTAGAAAAAGTTCATTTTCATAATATTTTGCTTTAAAATATTAATAGCATACATTGGAATTTAACATTCTTCTTGGATGAGTTGGTATTTGTCATAGAATTCAAAGTATTAAGGATCTGTGGTTTCATAGTTGATCACTAGAGTGTGCTATAACATCAGGATTCTGTGAAAAATGTGCCCTGATAATACTGCTTTGGAAGTTTGAATGAAAGAGTGTATGGATCATGTATCAGTAGCTTGGGGGAATTATAAGAAATTAATGCTTTCATTAGCTGTGGCTATCACTGATAGTGATAATGAAAAGAACCATAGCTTGAAAGTATGTAATCATAAGTGATTATTTTAAAGGAACTGTAAATGTGGACAAAGTAAATATTTACTCATTACATTATGGGTTACTGAAAGAGGCACAACATTTTACAAACCTCTATTGGTAATGTATAAAAATAAAATACACAAGCCCATCCTTTAATGGATTGAAATCTACTTGGTAAATGTAAACAACAGAACAAGAACAAAACTACAATACAAATAACTATGAAAGAGGTCACAAGGCAATATAGTGCTAAATGCATATATAACACTGAAAGCGGTCACAAAGTGATATATCATTAAGTGCCAAGTGAGTGGTTCAGAGAAGGAAGAGTGACCATGGGCTAGAGTTTTTAGGAATAGCTTCAGTGATGAAAAAGAGTTGAGCTGTTTTAGTTTATACTTTTTATATTCAGTTCCAAATGCTACATTATTTCATGATCATGAATGACAGAAAAGAATTGATCACTAATTATTGATCCATTCATGTCACAAGGTTTTGAACACGGAACGGGATTTTTAAAAGAAGAAATAAGAAGGAGAAATGGCAATATAATCACAGGAAAGAGTGGGAGTTACAGCAAGAAGACAGACTGCTTGTGATCCTTTAGGGAGTGAGGGGCTGGGTGGGGGGGGCTCATCCCAGGAAATTCTGCACATCATACATTCTTATTTTAATTGTAGAAAATATGATTCCACGCCCACATACAACACCACCACCACCAAGGTTAGGGCAAGAAAGGCATTGCCATTCAGGAATGTTAAAAAATGTAGAAGAGGGGAATTTGTTTTAATTTTTTGTTTATTCCGTATTTATTCTTCCTTATT